ATATATTGCTACACATTTTGGGGCACAACCCTGAAGTTGGCGCGATAATATGAAAGGACAGCAAGATAAGTGGCAGACTACAGGGACGACATGGACTTCAACCTGAGCTCTAGACAATTTTATTTTATGTATTGACCTGTTTCAACCTAGTAAGAAGTCCAGTTGCCATGACTCAATTTCCAGATAACCTGATGGAGTTCCTGCATGCCCGGGGGTTGGACTCGATGGTCCCTGTGGTCTCTTCCAACTCTGTGATTCTCTGATTCTGTGATTCTAACCTCACCTGGATGACTGAGAATCTTCACAGATATATTCCATGTTGATTGTAGTCAGCGATGGTTACAGAGAGGGCATATAACTCATGCAGAGATTCTGCCTAGAAACTGGCAAAGAGGCTGGCACCAGAATGAGGCTGTAAATGGGCAAGGCCACCAGCTTTTTCTCAAAGAGTGCCCAAACTCTTGCTCTCTCCACAACATTACTCAGTAAACCTTCTTTTAATCATCCCCATTATATAGGCTGTGGCGTATATTAAGAGGATTCACAATATAGTTGGTACAGTGATGGACTAAGACTGTTTCGAATTTTCGTTCAGCCATGGAAACTGACTGGGGGAGTGGACCTGGTAAAACCACTCCTTAAACATCTCACTTACCTTTAAAGCCCTGTTAGGGTCGCTGTAAGTCGGTTCTGATTTGATGGCACAGAACAACAACAAGATAAAAAAACAAGGTTTGTCTAAAGCTCGGAACCATTTCTTTTTTTTTTTAAAGCAGTGTTTTGTTTTGTTTTTTTACAATAACTCATTCCTGCTTGGGCACGTAGTGAGAATGGCTGATGGTTGGATTCCAAAAGAACTCCTGTATGGAGAATTAGTGCAGGGAAATCGCCCCAGAGGGTGACCACAGCTGCAATACTAGGAGATCTGCAAGCGGGATCTGAAGGCCTTAGGGATGGACCTCAACAGATGGGCAACCTTGACATCTGAGCGTTCAGCCTGGAGGCATGCGGTGCATCACGGCCTCTCCCAATTTGAAGAGACTCTTGTCCAGCAAGCCGAGGCCAGGAGGCAGTCACGAAACGAGCCAAAGCTGGAGAGGGGATAGATTTGTATTTGTCTTCAGTGTGGAAGGGATTGTCACTCTCGAATTGGCCTTCTCAGCCACACTAGACGCTGTTCCAAGACCTCTATTCAGAGCACATTACCATAGTCTCTCGAGACTGAAGGATGCCTAATCAGAATCAGATCAGAATTCTTGCTTGTGAATAACAAGTAAATCTGATGTGTTAATGCTTTTTTTGTTATTTTAACAAAAAGATTAAATAAAAATTAATCAACCACATTCTCCACCTCAAAATAACATTGCTGAAATAACAATAAAATATTGCTTGTTATGCAAACATTCTAGGAATAATGATGTTGCCAATAAATAAATAATGATGCTATCCTTTTTTTACTTGAGATAATAAGATGTACACACAGAGTACATCATAGTTCTTGCCTTATTTCTAACACCTTACTTTCATATTCTGGATGTGCCTTGTGAGCTCACACTCTCAGGCAAGAAAACTAATTCTTGCACTGTCTTTCTCTAGACTAGAGGGCAAGTTAACTTTTACAGTGAGTTTGCCATGATTTGTGTATAGGGAACCAATGCTACATGAATACCTTGGAGAGCACAGAAAATAGGTGTGTTGATCATAAAATAGTGCCCAAAATTTATATTAAGATAAATAATTTATTAGGGAAAAGGGGGGAGGGGAAAAAATCTCTTTCCCTTTTCTTTGCTGGCCTAATAAAGCTGTTATACTCCCTCTTGAATGTGTACCTTAACATCATGACGGCAGTTGAGTTTATAAGGGAATAAGAGCAGTGCCATCGGGTGGTGAGATTCATTTACAGGTTTGGATTTGTAACATGACTACCCATGAACAGAGTCATCCATGGTTGAAGCAATTAGAAAGAGCAAAGAAAAAGTATCAATAGCACAATTGCGAATGAAGCCATTAGATTAAAGCTGAAAGGACATTTTGGTTTCTAACATGGAGAGATGTGAAAGAAAAGTGGGAAGAGGATGCCTATGGAGCATCGATTGTTTCCTCCAAGGAAATTTTGAGAAGATGTGTAACCGTAACAGTTGGACACAGGGAATGAAATTATTGTTATATGCATCTGAAGAAGTACGGTACAGTCAATGAAAGGTAATGCCAAATTAAATGTGTTAGTTTTTCAGATGCCATAAGACTGTTTCTTTTTCATCATCAAGTGAATATTGGTTGAAGAAGCTGAAAGGACCTCAGTGGACAAATTTTAGAATATAATTTTAATCTTTTTTATTCAGTTATGCAAAATTGCTAGGATTTTTAAAATATATCATATTTAAGATGCGGTATAGGGACGTGGTACCACCTTGGGCTAAACCGCAGAAGCCTCTGTGCTGCACCTCGGTGGGAAGGTAAAACGGTGTTCCCTAGTCGCACTGGCCACGTGACCACGGAAGATTGTCTTCAGACAAACGCTGGCTCTACAGCTTGGAGATGGGGATGAGTACGGAGCCCTAGAGTCGGACACAACTGGACTAAATGTCAAGGGGAACCTTTACCTTTACCTTATATTAAAGTAATCCTGGTGTCCTTTTAAAACCTCTGGATGGAATATAACAGTTTAAAAACTATTTTATGAAGTAACCGTGTTGCTTAATCCCTAGCTTTGTGAACAAGTGTGTTTTTCATGTGAAAAAAAGCCTTAAATGGTTCTCCTGCCATAGTATCCCACTGCAGTATTTAATCTACGTTACTCAGGCATTTTGGACGTCTGAAAAGGTGACTGCTGTTGCTAACTGGAAATCCATAAAGCATATGTCATGTTAGATATCTGCTTTCATAACAATTTATGTTGGGATTCTTCATTGGATTCTTCAGTACTGGGTCATCCATATATATAATTTCACTGCTCAAGTCTTGTTCGTGGTATCTCTTATTTTGAAAGCTTAGCTTTTTTTTTATTTTCTAGTGAACTTTTGCACCGGTCTTTCACTATCAGACTTTAGCTGAAAGTAGGAAGTAGGTGGGTGTGAGTGATTAAACATAACTTAAACATTGACTGCAATGCTTTGTTATTTCAGACTTCCCTTTTACCCCAGTTCTAGATCTGGAGCTCTGGATTGTTCAGTTAGGCAGCTGTTTGGGAGATAAATGGGCCCTTTCATACTTTGTGGGGTTGAACAATTTGTGTGTTTGACTTAGCTATGCAGGATCAGTGATATTTTTTTCTTTTTAATTTTTTAAGGGAAAAAGCATTTCTTTGCACTTGCAGATCAGATTCTTCCTTCTGAAGAAGAACTGTTGTGAACAATTTTATGCAACTGTGTCTGTGTTCCAAAAGTAATGTTTATGTTAGCTGTGTTTCCTGTTAGGGTCAGTGAATATGGGAATTTATCCCTGCCTGTAGTATGCATAAATTATGAATAGACTGTATGTATTTTCATTAGCTGAAATGTATTAAACTAAATGCAGGCAATGTTCCTAGCGATATAAATGATGGTGGTTATATATTTCAGCATGAAATTTGGGGGCACTAGAGAGATAGGTGTGGATTCTGGTGATGATACATTTTGATCTCTTCAAGAAAATGCCAAGCATAGCATCATAGCTTATCTGCCTAATCCCAGCATGTATTTTTGGTCTAGGCAAAGCAACAACATCTTTTGCCCATGGATCTTTAAGCAATTCATTGGGAGGGCAGATTCTATATGCTGAGCAGTCAATTGCTTATGTCAGTGGTTCCCAACTTTGGGTAACCCAGGTGTTCTCGGAATAGAACTCCCAGAAACACTGGCCAGCACAGCCAGCGGTGAAGATGTCTTGGAGTTTTAGTCCAAGAACCCCTGGGCGGTGAAGACGTCTTCTTGGAGTTTTAGTCCAAGAACCCCTGGGCGCCCAAGGACGATAACCACTGGTTTCTGTGATACAACTCTATAGAGAATGGGAGCTATAGATTATTAATTCTTGGGCATGTTACATATTGCATGTGGTAGGAGTTTTACCAAGTTGTGATGCTCAACAATGAAACTTTGGTGTCCATTGTCTGTTGTAGGGAAGTTGGATTGACTTCTGTTTTTGTCTTTTGCCATACATAAGAAAACCAGAGTCAGTGTGAGTAACTGACTTGGACACCATTCCTTGAATATCTGCAATACTTTGAAAACTTCATTAGGGTTGCCCTAAGTTGGAAGTAACTTAATGGCACATAATAGCAATAAATAAGAAAATACACTGTTCATTAAACATCAAAGACTAATAGACAATCTGGGGGATCTTTCTGTACTTACAGTAATGTCTAAAACCTAGAGCTAATTTATGAAGGGATTTGAGCCTTCGACTTGCACTGAGAAACTCAAGGCTTTGATTCTTGACCAGTGGCTATCTTGCATTCTGAATGGAGATGGACACAGACCACCGAACTGGCAGTTCATGCCATTTCATTTATCAGACAAACAGGTATTTGGTGCTTAAAAGCCCTGCATCCTCCAGTGGGCACCCACTCAGAGGCAGCGGCCTGGTTTCCCTGCCCTTCCTCTCCTGGGCGCTGCCTCTGAGTGACTAGCTTCCTGAGGAGCCTTCCTGAGGAGCACTGAACACCTGTTTGGCTAATAAAGGAAGTGCCAAACTGCCGGTTTCATACCCATCTCTAATTCTAAAGTGTGTACTCTTTGTGTAGGCTCCTGAAGGCCTCAGAGGAAGCCTACAATGCAAGCATAAGAGACGTGTAGCTTTAAGATGTGGTATAGTATGCTTTTGACAGATGATCAGGCTATGGATTAGTTCCATAACAAAATGACATTGGTACTTTACTATTGAGATTAATCTTTATTCTAGACCCATATTGAAATTGCTGCACAGAGTGTATGAAAAATGATAATGTAGTTCAGTCCATCATTTTTATTTGTGAAACTCAGTATGACATAATAATTTCATATATTATTATTTTTTGTCTTTAGGAGAGGACTTCTTACCATTTACATGGCTAATTTGGTGAGTAATTGTATTGTAAGATATATGTATAATAACATGGAATTATTTGAAAGTGTCTTTAGTCTTTTAATTTCTGTTACCATAACAAGCGATTCAAACCATTCAGCTACTGCTATCTTGATTTCACCACTGAATTCAGGTGTGATGAAGGTTGTAAACTGTATGACTTGAAGTAAAAATCTTATTCTGATTAAATCTAATGTTGCAGAAAAATAGATAAACGGCTTTACTTCCTGATAGTTTACTCTCTTGTTCAAATATTTTTTTTCCTTATAAGATCCTGTACTGCCTTTTATTTTTATTTTACTTTTATACAGAATAGCAAATACAGAGATCCACTTTCTGGGCTGAAGCACATGATCACCTAACAGTGTAGTGGGAACTGGACTGCTCAGATGATAGGATTTACTTTAATTATTACTTGTTAATTTTTTCTAGCCCAATGAGTTAGGTATCTGGCTGTGGAGCTAGAGACTGGGAGATCAGTTCCCAACTACAGTATGTCTGCTGAAAGTAGAGCCAACCTGTGTATCAGTGGGCAAGGTGCACAAGCCCAGAGTGCCCCAGAAGAAAGGAATGGTAAACTACGTTTGAGTACTCTCTACATAGAAAACCTTGGAAAGCGTTGCTATAAATTAGAACTTACTTGACGGCACACAATTATTATTCTTTCTGCTCTTCCTTTTGTCCTCAATTTAGAACTAGTGATTGACATGAAAAAAAAATCCTTAAAAACAACTATTAATTTTTTTTAAAAAAAGCATGGAACAGACATTAGATATCAAATAAAAATAGGTAGCAAAGTTAGCTATAAGAAATCAAAAGCCCAGCAAATCAAAGGCATCTAGAAAGGACAGGTTTCAGTCTACATTAAAATTATGTGTGCAGTATCATTAAAGTATGATGCTTTACACCTTTCCAAGAAAGGTTATAGTTTAATACTTAATACTGTATGGGGGAGGGGGTGGGAGAAAAGAGGCAGCTTGGTGGGAACTGATAAATAGGGAGGTAATACATTGTTATTTCAATTGCATGTAGTGAGCCTGAGCTGCAGCTATAGTTATCTTTGGTCATGGGAACAGGTGATTGCTTCAAAGGTTTCATGGAAAAACTGACTTTTTGAGGAGAAATCTGAAGGTGTCATCATGTAAGTCTATGTGAGAGAAGGCAAGACCATGGCAGCTTTTAAAATTGAACAAAGTTGTTCTGGATTTGAGAGCAGTCAGGAAATGGTATGATGACTTTTTGAGGAACATTGTGTAATGAGAACTAGGAATAGAAATTAGGAATTATTCCGTTTGTAATAAACTACTGGCCCCTTTAGCCCTTATGTTTGATTCATTTAAACATTTGTCCAAGTGAGTATGAACTGATCATGGGTAGGTTTAGGATGTTTATTAAAAACAGCTTCCTAAATGGAAAGTCTTAAAGACATCAGATCAGCAGCAAGGTATATTTTACTAATCTGTGGTCAGGCATGAGAAACACAGTGCAAAAGTTCCTGTACTCACTGAGGATTTCTTTCTGAACTATAGGATTATTATCATATGGTCTGTGATCGAGGATACTGAGCTAGAGTTCTCTCATCATTGAACTATCATGGGTGGTTTTATGTTCTTGCATACTCACGATTCTGAAAAAATATATCTTTTTTTAAAAAAATCAGCATTTCCATAAGGACACAAAAAATATTAAATGCAGATCTTCTGTACTACTGCAGGACTTTACCGTATTTTTCGCACCATAAGACGCACTTTTTTCCCACAAAACAGGAGGGTGGAAAGTCTGTGCGTCTTATGGAGCGAGCACGATTCTGAAAAAAAATATCTTTTTTTTAAAAAATCAGCATTTCCATAAAAATAATAAATGCAGATCTTCTGTACTACTGCAGGACTTTAATTTTGACATGCAGGTTTAGTAACACAATGCTTGACCTAGCTGAAAGCAGTACAAAAAGATGCATCCAAAGCAATACTATATTTAATGTAGCTGAGAATGTGGGCTACACAGTCTGAACCAGTTGCAATCAATGAATCAACATTTCTGTAATACCAAGAAACTAAGAGTGATTGTAGCTGGTCCGAAGGCTACACCAACGAGCACAAGTTTTTGCAGGTCTATTTTGGATTGCACGTGTTGAAGGCAAGACATTTCTAAGATGGTAAAAGGGGATGTATTGGTAACATATATGTATGTATAAGACGATCCCTCTAAAGATATATCGGGATCAAAGAGAACCCCAGGATTCCAGCTGGAGGGTGAAAGTGAAACGTGATCACCGCAGTTATTTCTGTCTAATAAGGTAGGAGAGGAGGGCCTGTAAATAAGAACATGCTTAGGTTTCTTGAAAATAAGAGGCACAGAATATTAGCGGAAGTGCTTTGAAGCAAGAATAAGATATTCTTAATACTGTGTAGGAAGGATACTGGAGACTTCAGCAGAAAGAGAATCAGTGTGTATATGAGAGCAGCAATTCAGAAAATATCACATGACTGCAACTGTCATCAGTGGAATAATTAGTAATAGTCAAAAGTGCTCTTTTTAATTCTCATTTTGTTTCTGAAATTCATATACTGTTTCCTAGCTTCAGTTCCTAATTAGCAAGAACACATGAAAAAGTAAACTGCAGTGGTATAACACAGTTAGAAAAAAAACACACAACTGGAAATAAAAAATTAAAGTTGGATTAGAAAACAAAATACTAGTTCCTTAGCCAGTGGTAAACAGGCCTGCGTAGGTTAGTTCAGGGTTCAGCAGGCCAGATTCTTACTGAGAGAGAATAACTTTGCTAGTTTTCTGAAGATAGTGGAGTGGTGGCCAAGTGGGCCTCTCTGGGAAGGGAATTTCACAAACCAGTTATAATAAAAATCTTGGAACTGCAGAGCTGGAAGCGACCCTATGGATCATCAAATCCAGAACAAATCAGTTATAATAAAAAAACTCCCAACCTCTCACTCCGCAGCCAGATGCTTAAGCCACTGAGCTATCCAACAGTTGTTACCTCTGAGAAGGCTTTACATCTTGGGAGTGGGGCAAAAAGCTGAATTCCTCGTGTTGAGGGAAGTGTAGGACTCTTTATTTGCCCATCGTACCTTTAGTTTAGTGAATGCTGTAGCAGATTTTTGTTTTTGACAGATACCATTTCAAGTCCTTGGAGTGCATACAGTTGCAGTGGTATCTGTGTGGGGCAGAACCCTATATAATAATCTGGCTATAAAATTCAATCCTATCTTTTTCTTGACTCCCCTTCCTCTAGTGCAGTTGCCTCTCACTTCAGGTTCTCTAGCCAGATCTGTGATATGTCAAGATTTTCCACACTTTTAAAGAAGTAAAGGAAAAATAAAAAGGAGACAGATTTCTTCAAACTGCCTTCTGAGTAGTAGAGGGAGCCATGGAAAAGTAACACAGTTTTCCTTTTTCTTTGCCTAAGACTCTTGGCACAGTTTGAATGTAATCCTAAACCATAATTAAGTGTTATGTGAATATATTTGCTCTTGTGAATAGGTTCCTGCTCCTCCTATCCCCATATTATCTTCTAGTTTGCACTAGAGGACCAGTTTCTTCATAATTAAAACTACTGCATTTTTTAAATCATGTCTGAACCGGGAGTCCCTAACCGTTTGGATCTGGTGGACAGCTTTGTAATTTGAGAAAGCATTATGAGTAGTGTTACAAAAGGGATGCCGTGAGAATTCCCCATTCATCCAAAATGGTGATGAGTGTGTAGCCAGACATGAAATATCAGATGAGGTTAAATGGTGAGTAACTTGCTTAAAAATCTGAATATAAGGTCTGCGTCCTACAATTTAAAGTAGCTTCTTTATATCCTAGCTTTGTCCTACTTATCCATAGCTTTGTCCTACTTTGTCTTACACTCATTTCATGGAAAGGCAAGCCAGTTATTTTGATATTTTAATCAGAAGAAACCCCACAGCAAACCATATATAAACACACAAGTAGACGCTTTCCCTCTTTTAGGTTTCTCTCTAAGTCCGTCTCCTTTGAACACCCTAAGCTCCAAAGAATTGATGCCTTTGAATTGTGGCTAGAAATGATGCTTTTGAATTGTGTTGCTTGAGAGTCCCCTGGACTGCAAAGAGAAGAAACCTATCCATTCTAAAGGAAATGAAACCTGAGTGCTCATTGGAAGGACTGATCCTGAAGCTGAGGGTCCAATACTTTGGCCATCTCATGAGAAGAGAAGACTCCCTGGAAAAGACCCTGATGTTGAGAAAGTGTGAGGGCAAGAGGAGAAGGGGACGACAGAGGACGAGATGGTTGGACAGTGTCATTGAAGCGACCAACATGAATTTGACCCAACTCCGGGAGGCCGTGGAAGACAGGGGGGCCTGGCGTGCTCTCTTACATGGGGTCACAAAAGTCAGACACGACTTAATGACTAAACAATAAGAACAATAAAGTATCTCCACTTCCAGTGTGTCCATAGACAGACTGCCACAGCTTGCAGGCAGTCGTAAGGGTGGTATAACGGTTATCTCCACTTCCAGTCTGTCCATAGACAGACTGCCACAGCTTGCAGGCAGTCATAAGGGTGGTATAACCGTTAGGGTAGGCAAGGTGTAGCTCCACTGAAATTATTGTCCCGAAACTCTCGTGACCCTTCACTGTTGTCTGTATGGTCTAGGGCCATGGAAGTGGCAGCCCAGCAATATTCAGAGAACAGAGGTTTTCCGATAGCAAACCTACTTATCCTTCATATTGCTACTCAATTCAAAACTGCAACATAGGAAGCGACATACAGTATTACAGTTTATAAAAATACACCAAAACGTCAGAGAACCATCTGTTTCCCAAGTTAAAAATGGTAGAAGATCCTGGCTGTTTTACAGATGAGTTGATATATTCCTCTGGGCTGTTTGAAGATAATAAAATACTGCATTAAAGACCAGCTTTAGTTTGTCTCCTGTTTCTTAAGAATATAGCTTGTGGATCATTGCCATCTGAGAATGACTTTCTTACCTGAAGGGAGAAAGAAGAAC